AAGTTAAGCAAAGCTGGATCTGAGCAAAAGCGCGCGAAAGCATTAGATATCAATACATAACCCATTCTCCTCCCCTTGGTAACCCCAGTCCATAGTCCAATCGTATATCTCCACAGTTGTCAGGTGGGAGACATCTTCAAAAGGCATCATCAGGTTGGTATGCCGGACAGTTGGCCTTGGCGGGAAACTCCCCTCCTTCCACATGCGCAAACGAATGGTGTGAACAACTCCCAATTAACGGTCCTCCTGTACAGAATATTTCCCTCACCCAAATACCATGCCCTCCCTCCCCATTTCAATGGCACCCGAAAAGCAAGCAGCAAAACAGAGGCTGACAAGCAGTTCAATAGTGAAATTGATTACGAAAACTGTGCAAATCCTTTGCAGGGGTTGTCCCTTCAATCATTCTAGGTATCAATCCTGGTTGAAGTGTTTCTGTGCTTGCAAAAGACTTTGAAGATGCCATTTGGACATTCTGTATAGCCCAATAATGTAATTTTCAGAATCAATAAACTCCACTTTTATTAACAGCTATATTTCAGATTATTGCTAACTGAAATTGTGCAATTAAGAAAGAACTTTGTGGAAACTTAAAGTTTTGCAAAAGTAAAACATAAAGATAAACTTAGGTGATGAAGGGAAAGGGGAATCCAAAAGGGGAAAACTTTAAAATATCCATTGCTTTAAGAATATGGATTGTCTGAATGAAGGAAAATGAAAAAAGACAGGACCAGAATTTAATGGAATATCTTGAAAAAGAGCACCTCGGTCTAGCTAAACAATTAAAACTTGTTTTGTGTATTTTATATAGTGTCCTTCAACCACATTTTGAATCACATTAACAATAAAACATGATAAAAAGAACTTTAATAATGGAGAAACAATTTTGCTTGGTTTCACAAGGAGAGCATTGTCAGCGGGAGATGCCTGGGAAAACTTAACCCATCCTTTCCCAGGCATTACCTATAACAAACAGCTCTTTCTTAGCACTTTTTCCCCTTAGCTGAGCATTTGACTCTTTTCAGTTTTTTGTATAAGGTGTATTTAAAATGCATGAATTCATACAATGTACATCATATTAGGAATATTTCAAAACATGGGATTCCTCACAATTGAAGAATCTTTGTTTTATGAAGTTAGAACACTTTTCAGCTTTTATACAGCATTCGTATGTCTTACCAACTTCCTGAATTTAGTTACAGAGAGAGGCCTAATTCAAGTGACATTTAAAGTTGATGACATATTCCTTTTATCAGAACTGGGTATGTAAATTCAGTTTTAAAATGTAGTCTTGTTTTACTCAGCACTATTCACTCTAACCCATAGGATGTATTTCTGGGTAGTTAAGCTTTTCTGTGTTTCTGGTCAGTGTTTTCTCTTTACATAAAATTTATATAAGAGCTATGTCCAGTGTCTGCCATCGATGCACATAACTGATTCATATCCATCCTATTCCCATTGCTGAAAATAATTTTTATTTATTTATCTGGTAAATGAAAGGATTAGCTTTTGATACCCTATATTTGCTCTCCTTCCCAGATAATGTTTTTGTCTTTCTTTCCTTCCTTCCCTTCCTTCCTTCCTTCCTTCCTTCCCTCCCTCCCTCTTTCTTTCATTCATTCATTCATTCATTCATTCATTCATTCATTCATTCATTCATTCATTCATTCATTCAACTGCCATTGGACTTCTGAATAGGAAGCCAAGTAGATACATAGAGACAGAGATAGAGAGACTAAAATGAATGGAAAGATTATAAAAGTGTGCTTTAGAAAGTTCAGAAGTAAAGATGATATTGTAATTAAGCAATTAATTTGTTAACTACTCTCTTAATTGAAATATAAGCTTCATTTATCTTCATTCTAAATATTTTGCTCTTTAAGATAATCTCTCTTATTTACTTGCTTTTTTTGCTTGTTGATAAAAATGGTTAGGAGGGTAATAATGGGGAAATTTATATCTATAATTTTGATTTTATTATATCTTAATTAATTAATCTACCTTGAATAAAAATCCTATCACACAGGTAGAAATTTCAGAGAACCTCTACTGGGAAGTATATATCCACTTAGAAACAAATGATTAAAATAGTTGCCATTTTGAGGAAGATAAACATTTCTTCCAAACATCTTAGTGAGGTTTGCCAAATCTTTACTGAGAAAGGTAGGTAGGTAGGTAGATAGGTAGATAAGTAAGACAATAGACCATGGGTGTTGAACTCGATTTCATTGAGGGTTACTTCAGGGTTGAATTTGACCTCTGGGGCAAGAGTGGGAATGGCCAGAGTGGGTGTGGCCACTCAATGTCACTTGTGTCGGGAACTCCTGAGGTGGCCCAAGCACTATGCCAGAGAAAACGGGCTCCGGAGCTCTGTTTTTGGCTGCAACAGCCTCCTGCAAACCTCTGCCAGCGAAAAGCCTAGCCGGGGGGGGGGGGAGTGTGGCCCTCCCAAGCTCCGTTTTTGCTGGCAGAGGCACCGTAATCCAGTCCTTCGCTGTTTCCAGGGCAGCCCTGTAGGCCAGATCTAAGCACCCCGTGAGCTGGATCTGGCCCCCGGGCCTTGAGTTTGACACCCCTACAGTAGACAGTCAAGGAGGCAGATATACAAAAATAAATTCTTTCTTTTTTCCTAGATCCAGTTTCTTCTGTTTCTCCTCCTATTTACAGATGGTCCCTTGCTCAATCCTGGAATGATGTGATAAAGGTCTGGGGCGGCTACAATAAAAGTATACCATCATCTGATGAAGATATTATCATTTTACCAGGTAACTATATTTTGTTAATATACTATATTTTAATAATAAAGTCATTGTAACAATAGAGCTTGGCACAAAAGTTACAGATAACCAATCTAATATATAAATACGAAAAAGCCAAATTATAATACTCTAACTTTCTGATTTACTGCTTTTTCTACAAGTTCAATACTCATTTGTCAACCAACATCTCCATGTACATTTTCATATCACAAGATGAAATATATATAAATTGCTTATGCCAATATAAGTACATGTTCTTGGAAGAAATATTGCCTTTTTTGTAATAATTGTAATAATAATTTTTGTAATAATTGGCATATACAGTCATGTGAAAAGAGTAGATTTTTCTCAAGGCTATTGAAAATGCTAGAGAAGGCCTCAGAGGAAAGACACAGCAAACAATTGGGATCACATTGCTTTGAGAAGGGGCACTTCACTCAAAACTTCACTTGAGTGAAATGTACGTCAAAGAGCCGCACAACCTCTTGTATCTGCTGCTTTTCCTAACTGTTTTTTCTTGGGAAAGCATTTTGATTGCAATAAGGCAGATATTGGTTATCAATAAAGAGATCTGGATGATTAGTCAGTTAAGCACATTTTTCAAACAAGTCTCAGATTTTTCAAAATTGGAAATTTTTTCCATTTTTGTTGTAAATGTGTAGCATCAATTCAGAAGTAGCATTTAGAATATCAAGACAAATTCTTACTTTCAAAAAAAATGACTACCATTTTAATACATTGAGTTGAAATAGGTGAGGAGGATTTTCCTCACCTATTTCAACTCAATGTATTCAAATGGTAGTCATTTTTATGCCTTTACATAACATTTAATTCTGGACTTGGACTTGGATTAGTCTATGATGCTCACAATTTCCCAGTTGAGATTTTGGTTAACCCTGTCCATGTGTTGTGAGTGTAGGAAGTTAGCACCATCTCTCTCCTAGAAAATGAAATATTTTAGGAAATATTAAAAGGGCAGAATATTTCCCCCTAAAAGGGAAGAAGAAACTCAGCCCCTCCATCTTTGTCAATGAGCCATTAAGGCCTCAGCCAGTCTGCTCTACATATCAAAGTTAGAATTAACCTTCTCACCACATGGCAGCTGGGAAGAAGCAATACTCAACCAAACTTAGACTCAAAGCACAGCCTACAGAGTTGCCCCTGCATGACCCCATGGGAGTCTGACAACCAATCAGAATACAAGCTCAAGTTCAAAGCCCAAAGAACGCATAAAACCAGGGACTTTAAGCATCTCTGTCCTTTTTTCTTCTTCGCCCAACATCTGGAAGCAAGTACTCCCCCTTTTCTGTTCAGGAGCTCAAGCCATATGATCCTGTCCACCATTAAACCATCTTTCCAAGCAGCCTTCATGTTTCCAGTGTCTTTTCCCCCACTTGAAACTGAACCCAGAAGGACAGTTCTTCCAACATCAGATTAAGGAGTTTTCATTGTATCTTCTGACTACTAGTTGGTATTTATAGATGTACTTTGTTAGTCTTCTGCCTGTGTTTTCTACATAGTGATGGTTACAGTCCTTAACACAGTATACATTGCAGTTTTGTTAAGATATATTGGAGGTCTTTAGTATGGCTTGTGTGGTTTTAATAGTCTGTTAGCAGTGGTGTAATCAATTTTTTTTTGCCACTGGTTCTGAGGGAGTGGTTTGGTAGGGAAGGTCATGTGACTGGGTGGACATGACCAACTTTTTTTCACTTTTTAAAGCATTTTTTCCTGCCAGTTTGGGTGAATTGGTAGGAAAAAAATGCTTCAAAAAGCAGAGGGGATTCTAACGATCACGTGGCTCACAGCTGAGCCATGAGATCCTTGGAAGCTTTTTTTTACTACCGGTTCGCAGAACCAGGGATAATAGTCCCTACTGGTTTGCCCGAACCAGGCCGATCTGGGAGGATTTCATCCCTGTCTGTTGGTTGTTTCTGAGTTATTGTCATTACAGAGAAAATGGTGGTAAATTAGAAATACAAGTGCTAAATTACCAAAGTAACAACACAAACTTCCACAACAGTGATCTGTGTAAGGACATGATAGCAGTGTTCCGATATCTTGGATTGCCACAAAGAAGTCAAACTATTTTCCAAAGCACCAGAGGGCAGGACAAGAAGCAATGGATGGAAACTAATCAAGGAGAGAAGCAACTTAGAACTATAGAGAAATTTCCTGACAGTTAGAGCAATTAATCACTGGAACAGCTTGCCTCCAGAAGTTGTGAATGCTCCAACACTGAAAGTTTTTAAGAAGACATTGGATAACCATTTGTCTGAAGTGGTGTAGGATTTCCTGCCTAAGCAGGCAGTTTGACTAGAAGATCTCCAAGGTCCCTTTCAACTGTTATTCTAAATTCTAAACATTCTTCAGACAAGTACAAATAAACTCAGAAACAACTAGCTAAGACTAAAACCCTCAAAAACAAGTACATAAAAAAACCAATCGTGCTCCTCCCATAACAGAAGTCATCTATAGCATACAATGTAAAGATTTATTAAAAGTAATAAAATAATGTAGAAATTGTTGATAGTAAGAGTGTTCCATTTTGAGATGTATTGCAAAATGTGTATTTAGAGCTTAAAGCCTACCTTTTGCTGAAATTTAGCTTTTTCTGCAATAGTTAAAGAGACTTAACATTCTTTACCACAGTCTTATTGATTCTCCTAATACAGGTGAAAATAGAGATTATGTGTAGTTCCATGTTCATTAGTTTTTAATTCCATTTCTAACAAAAATTAAAGAATTTTGAAATAAAATTAAGCAAAATTTCATTGACTGTAAAATATTGATTTTATACACAAAACATATATTTGCAAACAAATCAAGCAATAGATTTTATAAAGTAACATATTAACATTTTTAGGAAATATTCATCTACAGAATGAGTAGAATGCCTGATGAATGGTTCCTTTCATCTTTTGGCCATGCCCATTTCCTTTGCCTCAATAAAGTAGGAATAATCCTAGTTCCTTTAAATTAGGCTTGTGTTGCAGTGTTTCTAAGTTCCACTATGTCACTGCAGGCAACTCTACACCCCCGTTCTTTTATTGTAATGTTATAATTCATGATGGAGTGGTGCGGTGACTCAGCGGTTAAGATGCTGGGCTTGCTGGCTGGAAAACTGGCAGTCCAGGTGTGAGACTTGAACTCCATGCGACGGGGTGAGCTCCTGTCCTTGCCTCAGCTCCTGCCACCCTAGCAGTTGGAAAGCATGCAAAGTGAGCAGATAAATAGGGGGAAGGTAACAGAGCTCCGTGATGTCATGTTGGCCTTGAAATGGAAATGGAGATGAGCACCACCCTCTGTAGTCAGCAACAACTAGTGGAGTAAAATCTGCAGGGAGTCCTATAATTCATGATACATTGCATTATTTCAATGCCGATTTCTAAGGAATAATGTTTATATAATATGATTAAATTACTAACATTCTATTATTTACAAAGCTTAATGTATTGAAAATAAAAAGAAAAAAAACCTTAAAATTCTACCAGTATTAATTACCATTTAGGATATCAATGTTACAAGCCTAAGATTAACTTTTCATCCAAAGTTGAGTGTAACATAAAGAAAAAGGAATCACTACAATTCACATCAAGATATTAGTTAACGTAATACTTTGGTCTTGTACTAATTACTTAACATTAAGATTTTACTGTATTATTGTTTTTTATATATGAAACTCAATACCTTTCTAAAACCATGTTTTAATATGGATTTTGGTGTATTCTGTTAAAGCAGATTTAGTGTATATATATATTAATAGCAACTGTGAAGAGGGCTTCACCTACCCAATATATACTGGGGTAGTTTTACATATAACAGCTATTATGGACAAGTAGCTGCTTGCTCATAGCCAGAAGTGGTATTCAGCAGGTTCTGACCAGTTCTGGAGAACCAATAACGGAAATTTTGAATAGTTCGGATAACCGGTAAATACCACCTCTAACTGGCTCCACCCACATCTATTCTCTGCCTCCCGAGTCCCAGCTGATCAGAAGGAAATGGGGATTTTGCAGTAACCTTCCCCTGGAGTGGGGAGAGAATGGAGATTTTACAGTATCCTTCACCTGCCACTCCCACCAAGCCATGCCCACCAAGCCACACCCACAGAACCAGAAGTAAAAATATTTGACTCCGACCACTGCTCCTAGCGTCAAAAAATCTTTAAAAATTCACACCTGTCATTTGACTCATTAACTGAGTGTCATCTGCATTTGTAGGGTGGGATATTTATGTTACAGAAGAAAGGGACAAGAAAGTACAGTAGATTGGCATGTATTTGAATATTTCTTTGGGAACATTTGTAATTATTTTCATAACATTGAAGGAAATCAAGGATACAATTCTTATGCTATGCATGAACAAATAAAAGCAGATTTTATTCTAGCAACATTCACAGCTTTCCATGTTTTTTCACATTTTGTGGGGCTTAATATAATAAAATCCCGACACAATATATGAAAAAAGAATGAGGAGCTTGCCATAGTGTGTTGCATCAGATGGCATATTTATGATGTCATGTAGCCTCTGGCATTGTTTTTAGTGGTGGAATCTTCTGTCTCTCTCATTTGGCTTTGAACTTCTTCTGTTTGAAGAGACAGACGCTCATGCTTTGCATCTCATGTAATAATACTTCCGTTGTGCTTGTGCAGCACTTGGTGATGCATTTATGACATTTTATAAAGTAAGAATGCTGATCAAAGAGATTCTGTGTCACTACTTGAGTCATTAGAAAGCCTGTTTTATGTCAGAGCATTAAGATTCTGCTGGATTATTTCTTAATTTTCCTGTAAAGAAATTAACACAAGATATGGGAAGCATATCCTTTTAAAATAAATACTAGTATTTTCTGAATAGTATTGCATATGGATGGGGGTGACATTGAATTAAATCTAACAAAAGCTGATTTGAGGATTTTGTGAACTCAAGAATATCAGGTGTGGTCACTTTCTTGAGGATTTCCCTACTCAATGGACATATATATCCAGAGGTATATATATGTT